CCAAAAATGTATCATCCAAAATAAAAGTTTGTTTTGACCTAAATGAAAATAGAGGAGTGTGTACTGTGAATATTGATTATGTATATATAAACTCACAGATGCATTCATGTATTTGAGAAAACAAATATTTATATTTGGTTATTAAATGTACACTCACCGGCCACTTTATTAGGTACACCTTACTAGTACCGGGTTGGACCCCCTTTTGCCTTTAGAACTCCCTTAATCCTTCATGACATAGATTCAACAAGGTACATGTTGGCATGATAGCATCATGCAGTTGCTGCAGATTTGTCGGCTGCACATCCATGATGCGAATCCCCCGTTCCACCACATCCCAAAGGTGCGCTATTGGATTGAGATCTGGTGACTGTGGAGGCCATTTGAGTACAGTGAACTCATTTTCATGCTCAAGAAAGCAGTCTGAGATGATTCATGCTTGGTGTGTTGTGAGTTTAGAGACGCTCTTCTGCATACCTCAGTTGTAATTTAAGTTACAGTGGTTATTTAAGTAACTGTTGGCTTTCTATCAGCTGGAACCAGTCTGGCCATTCTCCACTGACTTCTGGCATTAACAAGGCATTTGCGCCCACATTGTTTTATGTAAATGTAAGTATTGTGGGAAACCTGTTTGTAAACCGTAATTTCTGAAGTATTTCAGTAATCCAGAAAGATGTAATTATTTAGAATCATTCATTCATTTTTTTTTTGGCTTAGTCCCTTTTTTAATCTGTGGTCGCCACAGCGGAATGAACCGCCAACTTATCCATCAGATGTTTTACGCAGCGGATGCCCTTCCAGCCACAACCCAACACTGGGAAACACCAACACACTCTTGCACACACTCACATACACTATGGCGAATTTAGCTTATTCAATTCACGTATAGCCCATGTCTTTGCACTGTGGGGGAAACCCGAGCAGCCGGAAGAAACCCATGCAAACACAGGGAGAACATGCAAACTCCAAACAAAAATGCCAACTGACCCAGCCGGGACTCAAACCAGTGACCTTCTTGCTGTGAGGTGATTGTGCTAACCCATTGCACCACCGTGCTGCCATTATTTAGAATCTTTTTATTCAATTAATCTCCACAAATTTCATTCATTTTCTTTTCGCTTAGTCCCTTTATTATTCTAGAGTCGTCACAGCAGAATGAACCGCCAACTTATTCAGCATATGTTTTACGCAGCGGATGCCTTTCCAGCTGCAACCGATTACTGGGAAACACCCATACACTCTCGCATTCACACTCATACACTACGATTAATTTAGCTTATTCAATTCACCTATAGCACATGTGTTTGTGGCAGAAACTAAAGCAATCGGAGAATACCCACACCAATACGGGGAGAACATGCAAACTCCACAAAGAAATGCCAACAGGCCAAGCCGGGACTCGAACCAGCAACCTTCTTGCTGTCAACAGTGCTAACCAGTAAGCCACCATGTTGCCCTATATAGTTCAATATAAATATAAAATTATTATAAATAAATATTGGGGAAAATCCTGATTAACACTAACACATTATAGGGCTATTACTGGGGCTTATTACAAGACTATTGTACTTTCATGGCATAATAAAAATTATATAGTAGTAAATGGCAGCACGGTGGCCCAGTGGGTAGCACAATCACCTCACTGCAAGAAGGTCGCTGGTTCAAGCCCCTTCTGGGTCAGTTGGCATTTCTGTGTGGAGTTTGCATGTTTTCCCTGTGTTTGCGTGGGTTTCCTCCGGGTGCTCCGGTTTCTCCCACAAGTCCAAAAACATGTGGTATGAATTGGGTAAGCTAAATTGTCCATGGTGTATGTGTGTGAATGAGTGTGTATAGATGTTTCCCAGTCTTGGAAATCGGCTGCGTAAAACATATGTTGGATAAGTTGGCGGTTCATTCCGCCGTGGCGATTAATTAAGGGACTAAGCCAAAAAGAAAATGAATGAATGAATGTCAATAATCTTATGATTCTTATTTTCAATTAAGTATCTTTTCATTTTATTTTTTTAAATCGTTTCTCTTTAGTGATTTATTCTCTGATGGCATCTAGTGACTTAAAGGCGGGCCCGACCTGTCAATCACATGAGATCCACCAATAGCAACCAACAACCGTCCAATCAATTCCCAATGAACAAAGTCAAATCTCATCCTACTTATTTTATTAGTTTATTTGAGAAGCGGTTTCAAGGATATTAATCAAAATAGTCACGACTTTAGCTGCTGAATATTAATGAGTGTCTATGGAATCCTAAATCATGTGTTCCAGTAAACCGGATTCCAGCTCAGCCCCCTGACTGTCGCAATAAATCGCTATTTTCTTTTTAGAAATGGCCGTTTCATTGGTCGGGAAGCCGTTTGCTTGAAATGAAGAGCTATTAGTTCCCAGTCCGGGCACTGAGGTTGGAAAAAGGGTGGGGGTGGTGGTGTTTATGGCGAGACTCACAGGAGAACGTCCTATTCCGCTCAGTGTGGATTGACCGTACAAGCTAATCTGAGATCGCCCTCCAGCTATCCCCAATTCTCATACCAATATGTGAACACAATCAAAGTATCATTTAAATGTGGCACCGTGTGCTCATCTCAAAACATGTGATTTGCATTAGTTTATTAGGCTGCCCTACTTTATCCTATATGAGAAAATGGAGACGCTGCCTGGATGTGTTCAATACGGTTGTTCTTTTGGAGATTAACTGCTGAGGAATATCAATATTTATAATCGATATCTAGTGTTTTGGGGTTATTATCCTACACTCCAAAAATATAGTTTGCTGCTTGTTCAAACTACTTTTTACAAATGAGCTGAAACAGCACAATTCTTAAGGGCCCTATCATACACCCGGCGCAATAAGGCGCAATACATGTTTGCCCCAACGTGTTGCTATTTTCAGACCAACGCAACCTTCATTTTCCTGTTTTCCACCACGTTGTTTAAATAGCAAATAAATGTGTGCCACTTTGTAGACTCATGTGTGTTTCGGTCTAGAAAAGAGGCATGTTGAGGCGCATTGTTGGCGTGTTGCTATTTTGAGGAACTAAATTAGACTGCGCAATAGACCAAAAAAAGTCCAAAGGTCTAAGTCCAATTCTAAAGTCCAGCGCAGAGCGCGTTAGTTGTGCGCCTTGCTTACACATTGCTTAAAACACACAGGATGTACAGCAATACACAAATATCTTTACATATGAAAAAGAATTAAAGTAATAAATATTACAAAACGTATTATTTTTTACATAAATATACAAAAAACACTTCCTTCATGTCTTCACCTCGGGGGGCTTTTTGTTTGTTTATTCATGCCAATATGCTTTTGTATAATATTATTATTATTAGCCATATTATTTATTATATGTATATTTGTTTTATTAAAACAAGTTTAGATTTGTCCACTTGTCAGGTTTTGGATTGTATGGGGCATTGCATGTGTATTTGGATATAACTCTTTTTTGAGCACACTTCGTTATTATTGTTCATTTATTCTTTTGCTGAAAATTAGAACTGAATTTAAAAAATTGTTTTGAGACAAATGCACTTAATAAACCAAATTAAATATGTAGGCTAATGGATGTCACCATTTCCTTATCCACGAAAGAGAGAAAGAGAAACTGAAAGTTAAGGACGATTGGAAGAGGCTCATTCTTTATCCCCTTGCTGCAGATGCTGCTTAACTGTTTTCTCGCTAGTAAATTGTTCATTTTTTTTCTGAAATGCAGTGAAATCTTATTTACTTTGCATTCAGATTCTTAATTAAAAAAATAAAAAATGTTCACTAGGGCTCATGGTCACATTCAGCAAATTTGCATTTCTCACATTGTTATCTTCGCTGATGTTGTTTCATTCCCTATTGGTAATATGAGTAAAAGTATTATGAGTAAATGAGTAATATGAGTCTAAGGGTCAATTATTTTATGATAATATATTCATACACAATCTTTTCCCACATTTACTGTACAGTTATGTTGCCTAACATTTGTATTTATTTTACAAACACACAAAGGTTTGTTTTGTGAATTGTGGGCACTTTACATAGGTTTCGATTGTTTTTTTGACTGTACAAAATGTATTTTCGATCTACAGTTGAAGTCAGAATTATTAGCCTCCCTTTGATTTTTCTTTTTAAAATATTTCCCAAATGATGTTTAACAGATTCAGGAAATTTTCACAGTATGTCTGAAAATATTTTTTCTTCTGGAGAAAGTCTTATTTGTTTTATTTCGGCTAGAATAAAAGCAGTTTTTAATTATTTAAACACCATTTTAAGGACATAATTATTAGCCCCTTTAGGCAAATTTTTTTTCCGATAGTCTAAAGGACAAACCATCATTATACAATAACTTTCCTAATTACCCTAACCTGCCTAGTTAAGCTTATTAACCTTAAGCCTTTAAATGTTATAATGGCAAAGAAAAAATAAAAAAGTTATTAGAGATGAGTTATTAAAACTATCATGTTTAGAAATGTGCTGAAAAAACTCTCCGTTAAACAAAAATTGGGGGAAAAATAAGCAGGGGGACTTATAATTCTGACTTCAATTGTAAATAAAACTCATCCAGTGTGATTTATAAGCTTTTTCAGAAACAACAAATCCTGCCATTTTTTAAGTTGAATCAAACTTATGAAGTCAAACTTTGTGCAACTCCTTAAAACCTGATTCACATATTAAAATAAGTTCAAAAATGTTTGTTGTTATGACTCTTTTTTTATAGTACATCAGCAATGTCCTAATAATCCAACACTGTCTTGTAATAACTGTGTCATATCCATATCATTATACAAATTTGTGTCCTGATATGTCACAAAAACACATTCACACACACACAAACACTTGGAATTTTCAAAGTTTAAAGACTGTATTATCTCGGAAAACTTACTGCTGTTCACTTTCAAGAAGTTTGCTTGGACAACATTATCAGTATTATTATTGGTTATTGAACATTGGAAAAAACTTCTTTATTTTTGTTGCTTGCATTAAAATTAACAAGTTGTATTTTTTGTGTGTTTGTCACAGGCTAAGGACAGTGACGATGACGAGGAAGTCGTTCATGTCGACCGAGACCACTTTATGGATGAATTTTTCGAACAGGTAATTTTTTATTTAATTTATTTTTGGTCATCAGGTTATGCTGTGATCTTGTGTCCTGTCGTCTTTAAAGCAAGAGAAAATTACTGAAACTTTGAGTATGTTTACATGGACACCAATAATCCAATTTTAATGCGATTAAGACAGTACTCTAATTCAGAGTCTACCATGTAAACAGCAATATTTGATTTATTTTGTCCGACTAAAGGCCAGCTCACACTGTGCGATTTTTTTTATAATCCTGAACGATTGTAGCATGTCAGACTGCACGAACTTGGATCCCTGTAAGATCTCTGCCGTCTAATGTCAGACTGAATGAAAATAAAGATGCACCAAACATGGAAGAAAACTCCCTTGGAGTTTGATGTCAGCCACCCGTGACATTTTCACTATCCAGCGTTCTGAAATGATTCCTCACAGGAAACCTAAACAATCTGTAGCGGTGATTTTGCACACGGCATGTCACGTGTTTTGACATTTCCCCGTGGTCATTTGAATTGTCGCATGGATTGCGTCATTAAATTCGGCGCTCCTATTGGTTCTTGGATTGATGCTCATCCCAGCTGTTGTCGCACTGCAGGAAAGTGTGTGAAATCTTCTGACTCTGCCAGAACTTTATTGGAAGGAAAACTTGATCCCAAAGATTTTAGCCTAGGATTTCAGGAATCTTTTAGGATTTCCCAAATTTGTCTCAGATGATAAAATCGTGGCCGAAATAATTGAAATAAACAGAAATGGAATCAGGACATGTGGAGTACGGCAATTTTAGACGCGTGATGGAAACACATGTTTTGTAACAGGATAGTCCACACACACACAACTGTTTGACACTATTATCTGCACCCACAGAGTCAGTAAAGGACAACAAACCAGTTTTTTTTTTTCCCATACGGCGTGCGGTATCAAATTAGTTTTTGATAGGGGCATGCGTGAAATGTTCCTGAATGAAAGTGAAAGTGCCAAACTGCAGTTAAAGTCGACAAATTAAAAATGAAACACCTGAAATGACATGAAACTCCGAAGGATATGCCGATAGCGTGGTGACACAATGGCGTTAATCGAATTATGTGCGATAACAGGCTTATAAAGGAACATTTAAAAAGCAACTCATGTAAACACCTATTAAGATTAAGGCAAATAATTTAATTACTGATGTCCATCTAAACGTGGTCATTAAAAATCAAGTCTATTTTTCAGTTTATTTCATTATATACACAGGTTTTAAAAGCCTAGAGCTATCAAAGTCTTTCTAACTTAGCAAACGGTTATAGAAAAAAACTGGGCATCAAATCGTAAATGACTAAGCATTAAAATACTGGACAGTCAAGTCATTCCAAACATGATAAACAACAAAATATCAAATGCTTGATATTCTTCAACAGGATGGAATCAGACATTGAAACTAAAATAGACGCTATTTGGTCTAAAATACCAAATGATTGTCTGTGAAATAACTGACTCATCTGAATATCAGGCCAAAAACTGAACAAAGTGAGCAGTGCATTCCATTAAAAATAATAATAATGAACAAAAAAACTATTGTTATGAAATATTTACATGTGTTTTTATTAATTCATTCATTTTCCTTCGCCTTAGTCCTTTTATTTATCAGTGGTCGCCACAGCGGAATGAACTGCCAACTTATCCAGCATAGGTTTTACGCAGCAGATGCCCTTCCAGTCGCAACCCCACACTGGGAAACCACCATACACACTTTTTCACACACATACACTATAGGCAATTTAGCTTACCCAATTTACCAATAGCGCATGTCTTTGGACTGTGGGGGAAACCGGAGCACTCGGAGGAAACCCACACCAACACGAGGAGAACATGCAAACTCCACACCGAAATGCCAACTGACCCGTCCAGGGCTTGAACCAGCGACCTTCTTGCTGTGAAGTGACAGCACTACCTACTGCGCCACTGCGTCGCCCTGATTTCAGCAATATAAATCCATAATAAATCCAGTAAATCAATTGAAAAATAGCATTTCCAAGTGATCTCTTAATTTTTTTCATAGCTTTAAATAGAAATTTACAATTAATAAATATTTGAATCACATAAATCCACAATAAATCCTGTAAATCAGTTTAAAAATATAATTTTTAAGTAATCTCTTTATGTTTTCCATTGCTGTAAATATAGTTAACAATTAATACTGAGGTTTTAGTAATATAAATCCATAATAAATACAGTAAATCAATTGAAAAATAGCATTTCTGAGTGATGTTCTAATTTTTCCATAATGTAAATATAAGTTTACAATTAATAATAAGATTTTACTCACATAAATTAATAATAAATCCAAAAACTCAAATGAAAATAGCTTTTCCACGTGATCTCTTAGTGACCTGAGTTTGTTTCCCGCCTCAAGGTTCTATAACAATCATTCCTCTCTCTCCTCTTGCCACTTTCCTATCTATACTCGCTACTGTAATATCAATTAAAGGTGAAAAAAATGATAAGTACATAAAAAAAAAGAAAATAAGGGTTGTTTTTTTGTTCACTCAACTTCAAGCAGTTCGGTTCTGCAGACAAAGTTTTTCAGTTGACACAACTTACAGGGTTTTGTTACAGAGTAGTTCTCCAGAAAACTGATAAGTAATGTTATGTTAACTCAACTGTGACTTAAATGTGTTTTGTATCACTGAAATAGAATTTTAGGTCAGTGCAGCTGAGGTTTTCAAAAGTTCAGTCAATTTGCCAAAGGAAATATGGATTATGTTTTTTGTTGATGTTGTAAATTTTTAGTGCTATATATTATATTATATATATATATATATATATATATATATATATTGTTATAGGACATATACTTATACAATGGTATAACAAAACACTTTGGCGGTTTTAATACCTTGACTTTTCCAAAACTGGTTATCATGCCATTCCTACACAGAACACAATAACGTGTCTTTATTATTTATAATTATAATAAAATAGTTGTTATTGTCAAGCACATTAATGTGTTTTATAAAATAAAAATACATTTCATTAATTAAAAAAAGACATTTCCATAAAGATCCATTACTATAATTAAATAGTTATTGTAGTCATTTAATAAATTGTTTTAATTACACAGAGCACCATAATGTGTTTTATAATAAACATTTCAAACATTTTATTGTCATTAAAAAAAGATTATTATACACTTTCATCATAATAATGCATTACAATATTAAAAACACAAATGCTCCATATTATAGTCCCCTCTTAGATCTGATCTGCAAATGTCACAGTATTGATGCTGGCCATTATTAACACGTGTTGTTTTGCTGACAGGTGGAGGAGATCCGCGGCTGTATTGAAAAGCTGTCAGAGGATGTGGAACAGGTGAAGAAGCAGCACAGTGCCATCCTAGCAGCACCAAACCCTGATGAAAGTGAGTTACACTTATTCACATTCATATCAGTCTGCTTCATAACAACAATTCTGCTTAATATACAGCTAAGTCAGAATTATTAGCCCCCCTCTAAATTTTTGCCCCCAATTTCTGTTTAACGGAGAGAAGAATTTTAAACATAGTAACTCATTTCTAATAACTGTTTTTTTAGATTTGCCATGATGACAAAACAATATTTTAATAGATATTTTACTAGATATATCAAAATACTAGTATTCAGCTTAAAGCGGAAGTGAAGCACTCAGTCAAGTTACATTATTTTGTAAATTGGTTTCCACTTAAATAAATTTCTATAACAAACGAAAGGCATTTAAAAAAAAAAATAGAAAAGTATAAATATTTTATATTAGACACAACTTTGATGCTTGTATTTGCACCAGTTCCACGCTCACAACATTGGGTTAAATTATGCTTTTCAGTCTCCGTGTTCATTCCTTTACATCCATTGTATCTGTTCAGCTGAGGGAATGGAACCAACCCCGTGACATCAGACACAGCATCATTCCAGGATGGCAAAGCACCGAAAAAAAAAATGTTATTATATAACGGCCATTAAACTATAGATATTTACTGTAAAATACCAGACATTAAATGACAGAAATTTACCGTAAAATAATGGAAAATAAGTTATAGAAATTTATCAGAAAATAATGGACATTAAGTTATAGAAATTTATCTTAAAATAATGTACGTTAAGTTATAGAAATTTATCGTAAAATAATGGATGGTAAGTTATAGAAATTTAACGTAAAATAATGGACGTTAAGTTATAGAAATTTATCGTAAAATAATGGTCGGTAAGTTATAGAAATTTACCGTAAAATAACGGACGTTAAATTACAGAACTTTACAGTAAAATAACATATGTTAAATTACAGAAATTTATGGTAAAATAACGGACGTTAAATTACAGAAATTTACTATAAAATAACAGATGCTAAATTACAGAAACATTTGGAAAATATCAGACGCTAAATTACAAAAAATTACGGTAAAATAATGGACATTAAATTACAGAAATTTACTGTAAAATAACCAACGTTAAATTACAGAAATGTACCGTAAAATAAAGGACGATAAGTTATAGAAATTTATCGTAAAATAATGGACGTTAAAAATTATAGAAATTTACTGTAAAATAACAGAGGTTAAGATACATACATTTCCTTAAATAAAAATTTCTGGTAAAATTATTCTGTAATTCACCATCCGTTATTTTACAGTAAATGTCTATAATTTACGGCTGTTATTTTATCTTTTTTTCCACCACCCCATCAGTTGAAAAAAATACATAAAATAAAGATTTTTTTTAATAGTTTGCCCTTGCGCTAAAAGCTATAGTAAAACATGCCGGTTTCTTCCACATGGTTACATAAATCGAGTTTGTTATAGTTATTTGGAACTGGTGCAAATACAAGCATCAAAATTGTGTCCAATATAAAATATTTATACTTTTCTATTTTTTTTAAATACCTTTCGTTTGTTATATAAATTTATTAAAGTGGAAATCAATGTACAAAATAATGTAAACTTGACTAAGTGCTTCACTTTCACTTTAAAGTGACATTTAAAGGCTTAACTAGGTCAAAATTAACTAGGTTAAAATATATTATAGGTAATTTCTGCAAAAAATTCCCTGCTTTGTTAAATGTCATTTGTGAAATAATTGGAAAAAAGGAGGGCTAATTATTTTAACATCAACTGTATATGATGCCTTTTGCAGAGCGGTAATGTACTGTATGTGAGACCTCATCAGTGAGACGTTCAGGCATGTAATAATAAAAAAAGAAGTGCGAATTTGACATGTTTTACCTCCCCCATGTCTTCCTCTAGGATTCATCCATTCACGCACATAAATAAACACCATGCAGACACACGCTTGTGAAATGCATATCTATATCAGGGCAAGATGACAAATTTTTGCATTAGCACTCACCTCCACCCACGGTTTCCACATTAAAAGCAATGCACTGGATATATTTGCATTGTCTGCTGTACTGTTCGGCCTTAAAGGAACAGTTCACCCACAATTCCCTTTTGCAAATTATAATTGATCATTGTATATTTTATTATTTTGCACATGGCAGCATGGTGGCTCAGTGCTTAGCATTGTCGCCTAACAGCAAGAAGGTCTCTGGTTGTGGATGGGACTATTGCTGATACACACATTGCAATCTAGATGCTCAAACCATATATTGTTCAGCCCTAATCAACATAGCATCCGTGTAAAAATAGTGTGAATGTTTGCGTGAACTGCCCCTTTAGCACATGCACAAATCCCTACAAACCAAGGCTGTTATGCGTACATATTCAGGCACAATGCGGAAAGGGTATAGTGAGAGGTGCCAGTTCAATCAGGGATTTATCGAACCAGCCCCATGACTCGGCTGCAGCTGTGTGGTAAGATATATGAGCTCATTGGTGAGCCTATTCAAGCCTTTCTCCAATACCCTGCACTTGCGCCACCCACTCCACAAAACAGGCACTGCCACCAGCACCGCGCTCCAAGAGTTAGTTAGACCAAACCCACACACCTCATAGAGCAACCGGCCCACATCGCAGAGGCCGTTTCTTCACAAATGTTGCTAAAAATCCTGCTCACCTCATCTTTCCCCAGCAACAATCTTCAACAAATGTCTATGAGCCGGTCCAGTATCGTCTGTCAGCTCTTTAGTAAACGTACATGTGCAGCAAACAGAGTTTAGTTCAAGTTATTAGTAGGCCCACAAGGAATATCGAAGATTTTTATTCATTAATTCAGTTTATTTACTTGAGTAAATCACAACTAAACCTAACTACTAACATAATGACTAATTATAAGCAGCTTATTAGGAGTTTATTAAAGCAAATGTCAAATGTAATTGATTTATTAATAGCGAGAATTGTACCTTATAATAATAAAGTGACCAAAAGTGCCACAATACTACCAATTTTATTTGTTAGCACTTCAAATCGACGTATTTGGTTTTGTAACAGTTCAAGAGGTTAATTTACGTTACTTGAATTTCAAACTCAATATCGCCGGTTACTTTCCCTGTTACTCCTGTTCAAAAATGACTCCCAGCAAATTCAGAGAAAAACACAGCTTTCGATCAAGTGGAGAAGAAGCAACACCGTTTTATCTGACTAAATACATTTTTTTACAAGTTTTTTTTATAATGCTGCTCTGTGCTTTTGAGTTTAAAAATCTGAACTTTTGCGAAAATTCCTGCCTCGTGATCCAATCAGGAGCTTGCTCTATTAGCGCCCGTCATCCAGGCGCAGCTCCTGGAGGAGTTGGTGAAACTCATCAAGCTAGGTGCGCCTCTGAAAGATCTTATGGCAATTTTTCTGCAACAAAACTTGATGTACTTGATATATGAAGCGAACTTCTTGCGCAAATGAAGCTGGTAAACTTAAAATATTCAGGAATATCGTGATTTACTCGCAAAAGGTGCATCCGGTGTAAATGCCCCATAAGGATGAAAGCCGGCAAGCAAAACGAAAGCAGCAGAGCTTTTACTATGATACAGTCCACCGCTTCTGGTTCTTCCACTCCTGAGCAACACTGTTTTATCAGTATAAATATATTTGCAGGTTTTTTTATAATGCTGTTCTGTGCACTGGAGTTTTTAAAATCTGAACTCTTGCGAAAATTCCTGCCACGTGATCCAATCAGGAGTTTGCTCTAGTAGCGGCCGTCATCCAGGCTCAACTCCTGGAGGAGTTTTGAAACTTACCAAGCTACTGTGCGCCTCTGAAGGATCTGATGGACCTCAACACAGCGCCAAACAAGTCCATATGACAGTTTCCGCCGTCCATATTACATAAAGCAAAGCTACCCTTTCAACAAAATCCATGTCAGCCATTTTGCAAGGAAACTTGAGTAATTTGAATGAAGCAAGTGAGCTTAAAAGGTTCAAGTGTGAGTATATGTGATTTACTCACACAAAGCATGTCGGTGTAAACATCCCATAATGATGAAACCCGGCAAACAACAAAAACACAAAGCAAAACAAAAGCAGCAGAGCTTTTATTATGACACAGTCCACCGCTTCTGGTTCCTCCACTCAGGATCAATTGGAGAAGAAGCAACACTGTTTTCAAGAGTTCACACTTAGCTGATGATTGATTATAAGCAAGTTTGGCATGCTGTCCCGGGAAAGAGCCCTGAGCCCAAAAGGTCCTTGAGCCCTGGGTTCCCTCCCGTTTGCAGGGCGAGAGGGGACCCTTGAGCTCAGGTAGATCTCGACAACTCCCCCTTGATATAAACTGGTGACTAAAAATTGAATGCTATGAAAAGATATGCTGCAGGGTGAGAGATTGACTGTAGTGCAAAATTTAGATTAATCAATTCACTTTTCATGCATGTTTTTGGAATGTGGGAGGAAACCGGAGGACCCGATAACCCACGCGAGCATGGGTAGAACATGCAAACTACGCTCAGAAACGACCACCAGCCTGTAAAACCTGGCAACAGTGCTAACCACTGGGCCAACGTGCCGCCCTATGGAGGGAAAGGTGAAGAGGTAGGGGTGTAAGGGGGATTCTTCAAAATTGAAGATGACTGTAGTGAAAAACCCTGGCTCTTTATAGTTGGTTAGGAATGGCCTGATTGGTGGATCATGCATGCTAATCCAGAACCAGCCGTGTTCAATCATAGTCACATGATCCTCTTGAAATTAGTTTATGAATAAACTTCCCTTATCAGTAGGCCCACACGGAATCTGCGCACGCAGAATTCCGCAGATTTTCCGCAGAATTCCGCAGATTTGCCCACAGAGAGTGTAACATCATGAACACATCTCACAAGTTAAGACTGCTTATATCTCTGACTACTTTTTAAATAATTTGAGATAATGCCAAGTCAGCCAAATATATAACACTGTTCTAGTGATTTTAGGATATTTTATAAAGGAAAATCATACATGCTGCGCCTTTAACATTTTTTTAAATGCTAATGTTAGCTGATATCCTATAATAAAAACATGAAAGCCCTT